TCTATGCTCCAGAAGTATCACGGTGATCCGTCCCATGTGATAGATTTCAGCTCAGTCCAATTGGACTAGGATTCGACTTACGAGGAGGAGCCGGTGGCTATTCTAGCCCAGTAGGTCCGGCAGTTGAGGTCTAATAGTTATCCTTCAGTTCGAGTGCAATGGAGAGGTCAGCCGATCGAGGCAGCCACGTGAGAATCTAAGTCGGACATGCGGAGTACATATCCACACATTTTTACCAGTCCAAGTACCTTTCTATGTCCTATCGAGGACGAACGTTTATTTTAGACGTGGAGAATCTGATGACCCGATAGGTCATTTTTAGTTTTTGACCTTCATTTCTGTGTTCCGAAACCTCGATTAGCTCTGTTTATCCTTCCTCGATTGCGTGCACAGTCCGTGTCCTCTTTCCGGAATGTTTTTATCAGAAAATTGATGAAAATGTGAAATCGTTCCTTAAGAATTCATTTGAGTTGACCACGGTCAACGTTATTTGTAAATAGACCCGGATCGGTGTTTTGACAGTCCTAGTGGGTCCGAATCATGATTTGGGACTTAGGTGTATGCCCGAAATCGAATTCGGAAGTCCCTAACTTGATCTAGCATAAATTGTTGAAAACAAGTAATTTAAAAGTTTAAAGAATTCCTAAGTTTGACCATAGGTTGACTTTGTTGCTACCATGTTCGAATTTCGGTTCCAAAACCTGGTATAGGTTCATTTCAGTGTTTATAACCTGTCCGCAAAATTTGGTGCAAAACGGAATTGATTTGACGTGATTCGGACGTTCGGTTAAAAAATTTTATGTTCTTAAGTTTCATTGAAAATTTCATTTGTTTTGGTCTCCGATTCGTAGTTCTAGGTGTTATTTTGGTGTTTCAATAGTATGACCGAGTTTGTATGATATTTTCAGCCCCGAGAGCTCGGGTCAGTTTAAGATAGGCGACGGACTATTTGAATTTAGGAAAATTTCTGGTTTTTGAAGTCTGTTGTCATCTGGTGTATTCTTCTTCGCGATTGAGAAGAGTAATTTAGGCTGGGGAGGCTTTTCTTTATCTCGAACGGGATGGTTTGTACGCGAATGCGAAGCTTTGGGGGGTTTCCCTTCGCGAACGCGAACAACCTTTCGCGAACGCATAGTGTTGAGGGTCTGGGAAGGGGGATCTGTGGTTTGCTCTACGCGAACGCGAGCCTTGGCTCGTGAACGCGAAGGCCTGGGGGGAGAAGCCTTTGCGAACGCGTGAGGAAACTCGCGAACGCGTAGGCCATTTGACTGTTGTGCTTCGTGAACGTGGCAGGACCTTCGCGCACGCGACAAAGGCCTAATGCCCATACTTTAAAATATCCCAAACATGGAATTTCACCAATTTTTCACCATCTTCTCATTAGAGCTCGGCCTAGAGGCGATTCGGGAGAAACTATTCATCATCATTTCATAGGTTAGTGTACTTTAATTTAACTTCTTCGATTTCCATTAACACCCATTAATTTCTAACCTTAATCTATGTTCTTTCATGGCAGAAAATTAGGGATGTGTGAATAATTGAGGGTTTCTGTAAATTTAGGATTTAAACCTCAAATTGAGGTCGGATTTTGCAAATAATTACATACTCGAGCTCGTGGGTGTGGGCAAATGGATTTTGGTCCAAATCTCGGGTTTTGACCAAGCGGGCCCGGGGCTAGCTTTTGTTGACTTTTTGGAAAATTTATAAAGATCTTAATTTTATGTATTGTAGTTGATTTCCCTAGCATTATTTGATGTTATTGAGTCGATTTTGGTAAGATTTGATTGGTTTGGAGGCGGGTTTTAGAGGAAAGACCGGGGTAGAGCTTTGATTTGCTTGCGGAGCAAGGTAAGTGTTGGGTCTAACCTTGATTTGAGGGAATTAGGAACCCTTGAGCTTTGTGCTATGTGAATTACGTTTCTACGCTTCCGCGCATTTCATTAATTGTTTTATTCCATGTCTTAACTGTTACATGCATTAATTGTTTCCTATGCCTTAACTTGCTACTTGTAACTTATTTCTCTCATATTTAAATGTTCGTTTTTTTTCATGCCTCCATGATTTACTTGCCTTAATTGTCTTATTTGTACACACTAAATGTCATATATTTGACTATCTTCTTGATTTGTATTAATTGTAGCATTTCTTTGATTTGTACGAGGTTCCATTATGACTTTGCTTTCAAATTCTGTAATCGTAGAGATTCTTGTGATTTGAGTGGTTGAGTTGATTTCATTTATTTATTTTGCTTATGGATCGGGTTGCACGCCGCAACAGGTGGAATAAGGAAAGAGTGATATTGATATGGTGGGATCGGGCACGCCGCAACGAATTTTATATGTTATATTGATACGGTGAAATAAGAGAGGATTATGATATTGATACGGTGAAATAAGGAAGGATTATGATATTGATATTGATACGTTGGGATCGGGTTGCACGTCACAACGGGTGAAATAACGTGGGATCGAGGATTGAGTTTATTTTTATAAGTTAACTGCCTTACTTTTCCGGCGTTCCTTCTTGTTATTACTATTATCATAGGAATTAAAGTGAAAGGAGGGAGTATTATTTTATGATAGATAAATGACATGCATTATTAATAGACGAGAAAAATATCAAGACATATTGTTATTCTAAACCCATAACACTCCCCATATTATTCTGCACTATAGAATAAGGATTAAACGACCCCTTAATGACATATTTACTAGAGTTTTAAACTTATTATTAGACCAATCAATACAAGTAAAATAATGAAAACGCTAAGCACACTACAAATCGGAACTTACCAGCTGTGGCGGAAGCATAAGGTTTTCACCAAGAAAATTCAAAAAAAAAAAAACAAACACGGAAAGAAGTTAAAAGATTCAATACCTAATATATATACATGAAAAAAATTAACTTTATAGATACAATGTATATTTCATCAAAAAAAATTCGGCTAAATCCCCTTCCGTCCAACTAGCTCTGTCCGTGCTTATCAGGATATTTAACATGGATTTCATATATATTCTTATTGTGATATTTCGTTTATAAAGAAAAAAATGAAAAGAATTTCTTGGTAGATTGAGCAGTAATGGGGGCTGGTGTGATTAATACATTTTTGTGAAAGGCAAAACTAAGAAGACTTTATCAACTCAATTGATAAGTGACCTTTTGACATTATCCACTCGCATTATTAATAAGTGAACTAATAAGTCAGTCATGCTTTTAATTCGTCGGCAAGCAATTATGTACGTGGCATTTAGAAGCTGTTAGACATACAAATTATTCCCTACTTCGATCCGTCGTTACGTATTTTATGACAAAAGACATGTTTTAGAGGGATTGTCAAGAGAATCGGCTCAAGTATATTTCAATTATTGGGTTCATAATTAAATATTTACGCTTATACTAACATGTAAAAATTATTTGTATAAGCAAGTCACTTAGAAGGAATAATGAAATGTAATATAGAGAAAATGACAACTAACATATATCGCACCATATTAAATTATGTAGATAGCGTCCAAAGTTATCACAATATCGGGGTATATAATTTAAATCGTTTCTAGCTAGATATGTCAGAATAAGGTTGTGGGAATTGACCAGCAACCTCATAAAGATTTGACCACTGAATTATGCTTTCGGGCTGTAGCAAGAGGATTCGAAATATAATTAGTATATAGAAACGCGGTAAATACTTACCCACACCGGGTATTAACTCACCATGGTTAATTAAATAATATATAGAAACGCCAAATAAATTTTACCTTATATATACAATACATAATTCTCCGATGAACAAGATTCGAATGAAACCTTTCCGCTCCAAAATTCGCCCATGCCAACAAGTTGATAAAATTTAGTATTCTAGCTTGTAGTTTATTGCGTGATAACCGATAATAATATATCAACATTTAATGTACATTTTCCCCACATGATGTGTCCAAAATCTTAAAGGAATTTAGAAACTGGTGGTAAACTATTAACGGATAATGAATCCACAGAAATACCATTGAGAAATGTGTTGCGGTCGAGATTTTAAAAATCACCTTGAATGGTTTAATTACGTTTACTTCTTGTTGTTTCATTTTATATGGCACTATTTTTTTTATTAGTTCGTTTAAAAAAACGATAATTTTTTGTATTTAAGAATAATTTAATATGAAATTTTATATTTTTCCTTAACAACACATATTTATTGTTATAGAGATCTTTCGCATATTTAAGATGACAAGTTCTAAAAATTGTTATTTGTTTCTTAAATTCTACGTCTAATCAAACTACACCACATAAATTGAATACTCCATCTTCTATTGTGCAGGGGTTTCTCATCTTGCACATTTTCGAAATACAAACGTAACCTACTAATATAAAAAAAAAGGGCAGCCCAGTGCACTAAGCTTCACTATGCGCGGGATCCGGAAACGAACCGGATTACATGGGTCTATTGTACGCATGCTTATCCTGCATTTCTGCAAGAAGCTGTTTTCACGGCTCGAACCCGTGACCTCCTGGTAACATGGCAGCAATTACTTTACCAGTTAACTAATATCTTTATAAGAATTTGCAAATTTTTCACGACTTATTAAATACTAGTGGTTAATTATTCGTCATTACATTTCAGTTTAACCTGATAATGCAAAAGATATATAGACTGTTACAGGGCGGGTGTAGCGCTATAGTAACGGGTTCAATTGAACCCATAATTTTTGACACAAAGTATATAAATTTATGTGCAAAAATTCACTGAAACTGTAATAAATTTTAGATATGAACCCATAACTTTATAAAGATATAATGAGTTCAATACTAAGAACCTTAAAAGTTGAACTTGTAGAATTTAAATCCTGGATCCGCTGTTATGATATAAGAATTATGTAAATATCTTTTTAGAACTCAAATGTGAACTCTTCACTCTCCTTACCTGCCGACTGAATATTGGTCCCCTCGGAAATTAATGCCCTTATATTCAATCAGTTATGTACTCAAATTTTACTATAAATAGAGCCCAATATTGCATCAATTTCTCCATCCTTCAATTTCAAGTAACATTACTAAACTTTGACAAAAGATGGGTTACAAGGCATTTCTGTTTCTTGGCCTTTTTTTGGCCATTTTTGTAATGATAAGCTCTGAGGTTTTAGCTAGGGATTTGGCTGAGACTTCCACCACTTCAGCAGAGGACTGTAAGACCCCTCTCATTATTTGCATATATATTCAATTATTTGACCTTTCAAATTAGTGTTTAACGTATCAGAACGATATTATTTAAATCCCATTAATTAGAACAAGTACGTACGTACTGAAACTATAGTTTGAAATTACTGTACAATTGTATTAGTGGATCTGTTACACCCTGCCTTTACTAATGTTAGCTTGACCAAGAATCTTCGGGCTCGTTTGGTACGAGAGATAAGGGATAATTAATACCGAGATTAAATTTGAGATAAGTTTATTTCAAGTTTTGTTGGGATAAAATTTCGGTATAAATAATTTCATGATTAGTTATCCCGACCTGTAATGTTATTTTTATCCTTATGGAAGGGTGAAATAATAATTCCGGAATAACTAATCCTGGGATAACTTGTTTCCCAACCAAACGACCCCTTACTGTAATTGATGTATCATGAAAGAAAGGTATATAACTAAAAACCCCATTATTTTTACATTTTGCATATACATATTTTAAAACCTTCTAAAATATAACCATAAATCTTACAACCTTGTGGATTATATAGTTTCTACGTAATTCTGTGTTAGGATCACATAATAAGCTAAAAAAGGAAGAAGAATAAAACAGTTAAGAACAATATTCTTGTTTACACAATTGATGCAGCAAAGAAATCCAATAGCAAGAATGAAGTACATGAAGCTCAATATGGTGGCGGAGGATACCCTGGCGGCGGATACCCTGGCGGTGGTGGTAGATATCCTGGCGGTGGTGGTGGATACCCTGGTGGCGGCCGTGGTGGTGGTGGATACCCTGGTGGTGGCCGTGGTGGTGGTGGACGCGGTGGCGGTGGACGTGGTGGTGGTGGACGCGGTGGTGGTGGAGGATACTGCCGCTATGGTTGCTGCGGCCGCCGGAATTACAATGGTTGCAGCAGGTGCTGCTCCTACAAAGGGGAGGCCATCCATGGATAAGGTCACTATATAAAACCTTTGTACTTGCAAGATGTAATAGTAATAATCTTGCTGCTTTTTAGAGCTTGTTGTAACAAGTTATAAATAAAAGCCACTATGTAATATTTGTGTTAATTATGCAATGGTGTGATAATGTTTTCCCTTTTGAGCATGTTGTTATCTTTTTTTATGCATACAAGATTTAGTTTTACACGTAAGAGATTTGTTTTTTTACACATAAGAGAACTTAAAGTCAACTTCTTAAATGCAAAATTGTAAAGGGGCATGATGTCCAAATAGTACGAAAATAATCGAAGAGAAAGTAAGAAAAAGCGATTGTCCATAACAAGAGATGTGGGGTTCAAGTATATGGAGTCGTCTTTGTTAGGAAACGCTTTAATTATCCTTTAATATAATATTTTTCATCGCCAATTCAAATTTAGTCGGGTTTCAATACAAATATCAAACATCGAGTGGGAAAAGAAACACAAATTAATTAATTTCACAATCCAAGCCTTTAAAATGGAAAAGGCAAGAAAATAACCAGACCCACGACATATTATTAAGAAATAATGGGAAAATGCTGCTCAACTAACGCATTTATATTGTTTGGTAGTTTCTTCGATTTTTTTCGCGAACTGAGCACTAATTTTCGACTTGGAATAGTGTCTATAATTATGTCTATAACTTTTTCTAGTTATATAAATAAACTGTGGAATTTGGGTTGCTCCAATACACCGTGACAACCACCGCCGACCAGTAATTCCTGTCACGGTTCATCTGTTTTCACTTACGCAACGAAGAACAACTAAGTTCTCGTCTTACGATTTACGAACTAATCTAACGTGCTCCTTCATTGATATCAGAGCAATAGGCTAAATTTCTGGTCCGGGATAAAATACAGAATAGTTTTGATTTTCTATGCAAATGTTCAACTATCTGTATTTTTCTGTGATATTAGAAGATTAATCTGTTTAATCTCAACAAGATAATTATTTTATTTATTTAATAGAAATTAGTTTTCGAATCTGCTCCATTGGGTGTTATAATTCAAGTTTCTTTAAACACTGATTTAAATTAAGTTAAGAATCAGTTTATAATTCGACTATTTTCGAAAGTGATTAAAAAAAAACTTTTAATCAAACTCTCAAATTGGCAGCCCCGTCCTCTGTTGCCGTTGAAAACCATCTTTGCCTGACGGTGGCTGCTTTTAGAAGCTACTGCCAAACTAGAAAAAGAAATTAAGAAAAGAAAACCTTCTTCCTTTTTCACTGATAGTCGAACTAAAATTGGTGTTAGTACTCCAGTAGCCATGACAAACAGTAGAATAGAAGAATTTGTTTCTTCTTCCGCAAAACTGCAAGCTAGACAAGAAAGAAGAAAATAAAGTCTTCTCTTCCTAAATAAATATATGGAAAGAATGAGAAAAGCATGGAACTTCGTGTTCCATGGCTATGGCGGAGATTAGTTTTTTTTTTTGAAAAGGGGGAGTCTTCTTTTCTCAACCAAAAACGAAGCTTGCTTCAATGGGAGTGACGGCTGAGAGATGTAAAGAAAATTTAGGTCATGAGTCTTCTATCTAATACTAGATGCGCGATGGCCAACAGCTTGAAGTGGTGCAGTATTCTTCAAATAGCATATTTGTGCAATCACTTATAAAGCTAGAGGCACACACTGCAGTAACATCCCAAAACAATAAAATTGCTTTCCTCATTGATAATTCCTCAAATGACAATAAAACAGCCAGAAAGTATTTTACGTAAATACTGCTACATTTAACTTAAATGAGAACGGTCAATGCAACAACTGCTCTTTCATAGTCAATCCTCTTCACAAGGTTGGCTGATAAAGGGTATAGAATATCACTCAGCTAGATAACAACGGATACTTGATGTCATTATAGTGAACAGCCTTTTTCCAGATAAGTCCTTTAATAATCATTGGGAATGTATTACCCAAACATTGGAAGCTCAAAAAAGCTCTAAACCAGCATTGTCACTACTTTCCGCTTTCACCTCATCTCTAGATGCATCTTAAAACTTTATCAAGAGACGATAGCCCTCACTTACACCATGTCTTCATCGTCAGTATAACCTTCTTTTCTCTTCCTTTTTCATTGTCTCAAAAATTTTTGACCAAGGGTGGAAATAACCTACAAAGTAATCATCATAATGATGTTATATACGTCACCAAGAGGAAGAGACTAAAAAGGGAGATAAGAGGAAAAAGATGCCACCTTTCAAATCAAATTCCACCTTGTAGAATGTTGGCGCTAGTATTCCATCCTAAAGTTGAGCCATATATTTAACTTCTATAAGAAAGCAAAACAACAAAGATCATGATTTAAAGTTCCGCATAATTTGAACTGCAATAGAGAAAAAGAAGATTGATGGTTGATTTGGCAAACATCTCTTCAAGATATTCAGGGCTCAATGCATACTCTCCTTCAGCAAGTATATTATTTACGTCTCCAACATCCCTGCATGTCTTTAACACTAATTCAAGGAAGCAACCCCTTCTATTCAATTTTTGTAACAGTTAAGTTGTTTTGGAGATATTATTTGAATATGTACAACCGATTCACTGTTTTGTTATGGTAATCTTCATAGTAATAATGCATATTTATGAGTGAACAAATAACATGAAATAATTGTGCTATTTTGGCCCCTATTTTCCATATTGAAGTATAAATATAATAGAGTATATGTGTTCCCATGTGTTATGGAAAGGAAAAAGAAATTGTGTTGTGAATAAATGGCCATGCATGGAAATAAAAGTAACATGCCCCATTTATTTGCAACATGTGCCATGTAATATCAGTCAAAAGCATCTTGGTGAGGACAAGTTTCTTTTGAGAAGTACTACAAGTTCAATCAAATTATAATCAAAGAAAAGCTTGCCTACAAACCAAGCTTTACCAGACACTTTCATATTGATACATACGCATCTTTCAAGAGAGTAGCCCAATTCATCATTCGGAAGCATTTTACGTTAAAGCCTACAGCTATTCCCAGATAACCAATTGTAAGAAAAAGGAAAACAATGACCATGTCGCAACATCTTTACAATTTTATTTTAACTTCAACTATTTTCTTGTGTTTGTCACATATCTTTTCATTTATTTATAGTCTTTTTGGAAGGAGATCCTTACTTTCTGGTGCTGACCACCAAAATCGGATCCTTTCACCAAACAATAAATTCTATATCCGAGGCCCCTGAAATAAAGTGAGTTTTAGTAGTTACTATGCTAGAATAGAATTTAATGTATTCATTACCATAAACACCAACTCATTTAAAGTCCCTGAGCTCCAAGAAGAGATCTCACCACACCATGAGAGGACAGATCATACAATCTTCTTTGAGAAAGATGAGCCATCCGGCCTCCAGACAATTAGGAATTTCAGTGCCATCCACGTAACTTTATAAAGCGCATTTAAATTTTAAGAAAGCTTTTTATAAGTTAGCAAAATTTACAAACTGCTAGTACATCATTGATTATTTCACAAAGGAAAAGTCCCTTTTTCCTACTAACACGGATGCATCCAACAGCTAACGCTTTAGGGATTGTTATTCTTCAGTAAGATGTGTAATAGAATAGTAGAAAAATCCATAACTTCACACATACATTTCGAAAGTCCATTGACATCTAAAAGAAAGCCACCTGCTGAAATCGATCCAGCGCTTTCAACGCATGAAAAGCAACGACGGAGAATTCAGTCAACCTAAAAGGAAACTAAAACTAAAATTTCATTGCCAACAAAGTATTACTTGAACAGCAAATTGGAGTTTCAACAATGTTATATGAAAAAGATGCTTAAATATTACTATGATTTTCTTTATTAAGAATGAGAATTAATTATCTCTGTAAAAGTTGAAACAATTTGACAATAACTTAGTGGCATCGCCCATCCTAATATTAGGAGAACTGGTTGCTGATAAGTGAATGTACATATTTGTTTAACAATTGAACCTCTCCCATCTAATCCCTTAACATTTAACTGTGCAATCAAATTCCGAAAAATTTAATATAAGAAATAGAGAAAGTATCTCTCTCTTTTGAATGATACATTTCAATTCCATGCAAATCAACAGTTAGAGGAGCATCGATCTCTCTCATTTTGGAAGCAACTGATAAACAGGACATAGCTACTGCACAAGTTAGTACAATATAGGCTATCAAACATTAGCTGAAATTTTAGTGGTCAAATGACTCCATTAACACCTTTGGGCATCTCAACAGAGAAACTTCTATTATGTAATATGATCGCTTGAATTTTCCGAGCTCCCTTGTTCTTTCTTTATTAATTGTCATTTCAAACACAGTTTCTTAAGCGTTCCATGTAAGGCATTTTATAATATATTTGTAAAATAATAAATAAATGACCAAATAGTAGTTGACTGGTTAGATTCATGGGCAGGAAGCAAAATATCTCAAGCTTTGGTGTAAGATTGCTTGACGAATCAGATATAGAACCGTGGGCACTTAAAAGAAAACGAACTAAATCAGTTGTATTGCAGTCTTCCCCTGCTCCCAAATGAGAAAAACCTTACCGGTTGTTACTCAGCCCTTATCAGCCAACCTCAGATGGTCAGCCCCTCCACCTACAACCCGAGGGTCATAGGTTCGAGTCACCAAAGGAGCAATAGCTCCAACAAAGGGGATCAATATCAAAGCGGAGGGGAATTAAAAAAAAAGCCCTCTAAATTGAAATTCCAGTTTCCAGTTATAAAGAATTACAAAAGGTAAAATAAATCTACAAACACACAGCAGAAAAAAATGGTACTATATCGAATTGGGAATTACCATGCAGGTTCACACACATGAGGGGATGAGCGTAAAAATCTCACACATATATATATCACTGGGTGAAAAGCTCAAATATATGCATGCTTAAAGAGGAAGAGCAGTAAAATTTAAAATGGTAAAAAAAAAAGGGAAGATTATCCACACTTACCCTAACACTATAGAACGCCAGTGGCATTTGCTAACTCGGAGAAAAGAATATAGAACAATCCTTTAGATCTTTCACTTTCATATTCACTTAGCATGTTGGTAGAAATTCAGGTCGGGGGTTCAAGCATGAGTCTTTTCGATGGTAATTTCCATATTCACTTTTGGATTTGCCCTGTTTCAATATAGCAATAAATTCCGTCTTTTTGATCTTCCCATCTCCATTATCATGGGTTAATCCTGTTAAAAGGCATTAAAGGAAAAAAGATAAAAGATAAAAGGTAAAAGAGAATATGGACTTAGAAATAGAATTGGGGGTTAAATGGTTTGGAATTGTTAGGGAGAAATTTGTGGTTCTTGTGCGGAAGGGCAGAGAAAAACGGCAAGAATAGGGAGGGTAAACGGAAAGAGAAAAATGAGGAAAAGATAATAGAGGAACACAAAGGGCTCTGGAGGTGGGTAAACAATGAATAAGAAGGAGACACGAATAAAACACGTGTGTGCACCATCAGCTGTGTTTGTTCCAACGAAAGTACATACCAGATAACTTTTTGTACAACTTGGCACAGCTGTGTTCGTACACCCTCTTCCCATTTATATATGGTAGTAATACTCCCTCCATTCCAATTCATGTGAACCTGTTTGACATGTCACAGACTTAAAGAAAAAATGAATACTTTTTGAATTTGTAGTCCTAAACAAGCAAAAAGAGGGCAAAGTATTTGTGTGGTTATAAAAGCTTCTCACTAAGGATAAAATTGTATGTTTAAGCTAAATTATTTCCAACTTTAGAAAGGAGTCATTCTTTTTAGAACGGATCAAAAAAAAATTCACATAAACTAGTACGGGGAAGTAGTTAAAAAGAAAAAGGGTATTGTTAGCTTTTGGGCTTCAGAAGCCTCGTGATGCATGGGCTTGTTTTCTTTATGGTTGGCAAAATTATGCAATTGGACTAGAAGTGGTAAAATGGGTAAACAAAACAAATAACCATTAATATTATTCGCTAAAATATGGGTTGGATAATGAACATTTTAAAAATAGATCAAATATGGATATTACCCATATTATCCATATTTTAAATGGGTAACCACCAGTTATCCATGGTAATAAAGTCAAAACCTTCCCCAAAAGCATTTTCGCCCCCTTTTACCCCAAAAGCACACAACAGGAGCAAATGTATAATTCATTAGGCACATTGTTCTGTTGAAACTGATTATAATAAAATGTGTGAATCATGTCAAAAGATAATGGATAATGTTATTGACCAACGTAATTAAAATCTCTTAGTGAATAACTTTTGTTAAGAGTGTTTAGAGTGAAGATATAATTATCTTTTTAACTGAACTTTTGAATTTTTATTAATATCACCAACCATTAGCAGTTGGTGGAGATGCAATATTAGCTACGATTTCGAATGAATTAGTATTTGTATTAGAAAATCCATTAAAACATATAATTATTTAATTGCGAATTCAGTAACTAAAACAAGCTACGATTAAGCAGGTTCAGAACACGTAAGTTTCAAATCATGGCTCCACCAATGTCAATAATCCTAAGGTTTGTCTAAGGTCGTGTTGTTTTATCTCTTTCAAACTTGCTCGACTTTTATTTTTATTTTACACCAAATTATTAGTGTGTCCTTGAGCCGAGGGTCTTCGAAAAGAGTCTTTCTACCTTCACGAGGTAAGGGTAAGGTATCCGCATACACTATTCTTTCCAGAACTCACTCGTGAGATTATACAGGGTATGTTGTTATTGTTGTTTGTTGTACCAAATTATTAGTGCAATATTTAAGAAGAAAAAAGAGTAATTAATTGTACTCTTAATTATGTAGTGTACTTTTTAGGTACTATTTTTTCGTTAATGCGGGGGTTCAACAGTAGAGTGTTATAGGAATGAATTTTGTACATGTAGTTGATGGCTGTCAATTGTATCTTCCTCCGTTTTGCTTGATGATCAACTGGGTCACTGAACAGCTGAGGCTAATGTGAAGCTATGAACGGATAATACGGTTAACCGTTTTATGCGCCGGTTAATCCGTTTTTTATCCGTATTAAATATGGTTCTGGTCGGATATTTGCATTACCCGTTTTTTACCTGAACCGTATCCGATTCGACCCGCCCGTTTGCCACCGCTAAATTGGACTAAAGAAGCTACTGAGCTTCTTCCGATGAAGGGCAGATTTTAAGGAAAATGGGCTAAAGTCCAATTCGAAATTGGAAGAATTTTTATGGGCTAAGGACCCAGTTTATGTCTTCTATAATGTTAATTGGGCGAATGGCCCAAATTAAAATCTACAATAGATTATGTTATCTTATTTAAAAAATTTCAAATTTCGAAAATTAGTCATATGGATTAATTTTCAAAATATAAATTCAGCATTTATACCTTTATGAACTATAATTATTTTATTATCCCAATTGCTTGAAATATTAATTTGTTTAACATTAAACTTATTTGTTAATTTGCTTAACATGCTAAAAATGTTAATTTGTTTAACATTAAATTTATTTGTTAATTTGTTTAGCATACTTGAAATGTTAATTGTTTTAACATTACTTTGGTTAATTAGTTTAACACATGCTTTATATTAATTTATTTAGCATGAAATCATCAATCAGTTTAATATTAGCATCACTTATTAATTTGTTTAACATGTATAATATGTTAATTAGTTTAACATTAAAGTAAATTTTATGTGAATCTGTATAGCATGTAATAAATGTTAATTAGTTTGACATTAATTTTATTTGCATGCTAATATAAGTTATCTGTTAACTTATGATCCACATGGGATTGTAAAATCACAATTAGATAATTATGTTGTCTTAAACATGATTAAGACGCTTAGCTAGATAATTGAATAGGTTAATTTTCATAATATAATAACTTTTTGATGATGATTGGGAACATAGTGAACTTTTGACTCCATGATTAATATATATGTTTATTAACTTAATAAACTGTTGCTTAGTGTCATAATATATATGTATGTTGAACATCGTACCTTGCGTTATTTTTTTATATTTGCATGATCCTTATAATATTCTTTTATTTTGTTAAAAAATGACTACTGCTTCAAAAAAGCATTATTGCTGAGCTCAACAAAGGGTTGAAACTCAATTGTGACAATTATGAAACCTGGAGCTTGAAAGTCCAGTATGTGCTAGAGGAGCAAGAGGATCTAGAGGCCATCAACAATGTCATGAGTGAGCCTAAGGAAGGCAACACTGCTCAGCATAGGCGTGAGTGTGAAGCCTATGACAGTTGGAAGAAAAAGAACTCCATTGCTCGCATTACGTTGTTGAGCACCTTAAATGATGACATTCTAAGGGAGTTTAAGGATTACCAAAGAGCTATGGATCTTTGGAATGCTTTGAGGAAAATGTTTGGTACCTGTTCTACTGTAAGGCTGCGATCCTTAATGATCAAATTTGATTCATATAAGAAATGCCTAGAACATTCAATGAAAACACATTTGACGCAAATGACAAATATGATCGGGGAGTTGAAAGATGCTGGTCATGTGTTGACTGATGAACAACAAATCCAAGCTGTCATACGCTCATTACCTAGTTCTTGGGATCATATGAAAATGAATTTGACCTATAATGAGCGAATCACAACTCTGAAACATGTCTGGAGACACCTTGAGTTAGAGGAGGAAGGACTTGAGGCTGCAAAGCCAATAGCTGAGTTGCACATGGCAACAACCTTCAAAACCAAGAGTGATTCAAAGAAAAGGAACTGGGGAAAAAAGAAAGGGCCACCTCAAGCTCAGCCTGCTAAAAGAGCAAAGACTGAAAAAGGCAAGAACAGACGTCCCAAACGTGTCAAAGTTGCTAAAGTGAAATGCTATAATTGTGACAAGATGGGTCACTATGCCAGAGATTGCTCTAAGCCTCCAAGAAAGGTATTTCACGGTGCTCGAATTAGTGAACTTTGTGTTTCTAGTTCTGTTTTTCTAACTGAATCTAATCCCTTTGTGGATTGTAGACTCAGGAGCAACAGACCACATAGCCTAGGAACGCAGTGCCTTTGTTGAATTTCGGCGAGTTCCACATGGAGCAAAGTGGATATATGTGGGCAACAACAATAAAGTTGCTGTTGTAGGGATCGGTATATGCAAGTTTGTCCTGCGTGGTGGTCGAGACCTAATACTACATGATCTCTTTGCACCAACTATTCGCCGGAATGTTATTTCAGTTTCAGTTTTGCTTAAGCTAGGATTTGACTTGTTTTGTCATGGCACTTCTGCCAAGTTGACTTTTGGTTCAACTCTATTTGGTTTTGGTCATGTGACCGGAGGTTTAATTATTATGGATTTGGATTATGATTCATTTAATAATAATGCTAGTTTTTTTTATGTTTGTTTCTTCACATAAATATGATAGTGATGCAAACATATGGCATGCTAGACTTGGTCATATTGGCCAACAAAGAATGCAAAGGTTAGCAAAACAAGGTTTGCTTTCCAACATTGAACATGTGGAATTGTCCACTTGTGAAAATTGTCTAGCTGGAAAATCTGCAAGAAAACCTTTTGGTCAGACGACTAGAGCTGAATATCCTTTGCAATTAGTACATCGGTACATCTGTGGGCCTATGAATGTTAGGTCTATGCATGGAGCAAGTTATTTCATCACATTTATTGATGACTTTACCCGTTTCAGTTATGTCTATTTGACTTCCCACAAATCAGAAGCAATAAGCTGCTTCAACGCTATATGAGCTTAGTGGAAAATCAATTAGACAAGAAGATAAAAGCTCTTCAAACTGACCGTGGTCGTGAATACTTATCAACCCAGTTTAATAATTTATGTGATGAAAAGGGAATAGTTCATCAGTTGACTATTCCAAATACTCCACAACAAAATGGTGTTACGGAGAGAAGGAACAGAACGCTCGTAGAAATGGTTAGGTCAATGATGGCACAAGCTAATCTCTCAGTTAGTTACTAGGGTGATGCGTTGCTTATTGCCACCTTTGTACTAAACCGAGTGCCTACAAAATCAGTTACTACTACTCCATATGAGTTATGAACTGGAAGACAACCCGAACTAAGTGTATTAAGACCTTGGGGTTGTGCTGCCTATACACATGATTCCTCTCACAAATATGGAAAATTAGGCCCGAGGGAAAAGAAAAGTGTCTTTATAAGATACTCTGAAACCTCAAAGGGCTATGTGTTTATAGGACAGCAATACAGTGGGAGAGTTACTGAGTTTGAATCACGAGATGTCACATTCTTAGAGAATGAGTTCCCTAAGAAGGGAGAGGTAGTTCAAGACCTAACCTTATTTGAGATAATGGGTCAAGAAGTACAAGGATCACTTCATTCGAGTGAGAGAATTTTAGCAGATGATGAATTAGTTTCTCATCAAAGACCTCCTTCATCATTAGATGCGAATGAAAGTAATCCTTCTACATTTAGTGGAAGTGACCAAATGGATC